AATAACAAGCGAGAACAAAAAATATCAATTATTGTTTAGATTAACTGCTGTAAATATCATTTGGATATAGGCTTCAATGCTCCACCAAATTGATGCGAACTTAACGCCGAAAGTTTTGAGACCCAGCATTCCATAAATATGCCCAATAAATATCCGCAAGATGCATATTCACTTTGAATGCAATTCTTAGCTGGCCGTGTAGCGTGAATTCGCTTTTTTGTTTCTTGCTCGCTGCATTAAGTGCATTTTATAGTCAGCTCAACGAGCCAAACACGACGCAGCCGTCTTTGCCCTTATCGCGGCTGCCTGGCCGTCCATTTAGGGCGCAGAGAGAGGAAGCATAAATTGAACTGTCAGTCAGTTGCGAGGGTCTGTCTATATGTAAATGCCAACTTCGCAGCTCGGCACGTCTGATGGAGTTCTGGTTAGGACCAGCAGATACCCTTTCAGTTGATACTTGTACAACTTCAGGTCTTTTCGTAAAACCAGACTACCCAAGTGCCACATCCACAGGGTATCGTACACCTCAAGTCTAGACGGGCGAGGGGCGAGCGCTTTACGAACGGTACTTGGCAACAATTGCAGCATGCGAAAAACTGTTTGTGGCACAGAACATAAAATGAAGAATGTGCAACGAACGCACTGCTTCAGGTTAAAATTATTGTTGAAGGCGTACACTTTTGAGGGCGTGGCAGCGCTGAAATAGAATTGCCGTCGAGTTAGCTGTAAGGCACGTATTTAATTATCCAATCTCAAGTTGTGTATGAAATCGATGCTGAATAACTATTAATATATGGATGGCAAAGAGCTGATTGACCCTCAATGAATCGCCATTTAAGTGTAAATACTTAAAGATCAATGTACTTAAAAGTTATCTATATATACAGGGAATTGTCTCACAGTAAGACAGAAATATCTTCTGTATATTATTTATAATCGGATAATTTATCGTTGAAATAGATACAAATAATGGTTATACATTGGATATATCCCTGATAATTTTTACCTATTACAGCTGTGCTTTTTATTGTTTTCATTGTTTGGCTTGTTTGGCTATCCGTTAGATATTTTTGTACCGCAGCCCAGCCTAAGTGCCAATTACTTCACTCTGCTGTCATTTTGGCCCTAACATACATAGACGAGGCAAAGTTATTGCCGCTGGGCAGCGTGRCCAAGTCAAAGTACCTATCAGTGTATTGTCGTCCACAAACGAGCCATGACACACACACCCACACCCACACACACACAGACATTACACAGTGGAGAGTAAATACAAAAACAAATACATAACAAAGTTTTGACACTTCCTCGACGGCGCTGGAGTCAGAGACGACACAGCGATGTTTATTGAGTTGTTGCTGTCGCAGCACGTTGTTGTTGTTGTTGCTGCTGCTGCTGCTGTTTATTTGTTCTATGCCACCAAATAAGTATCAACAAATATTTCGAAGCATTTTTCCTGCTGCCACAGCTGCCCGGTCTGCAGTCGTACGTTGAGACAAACAAAGTCAAAGCCTAAACAAGATTTATGTGCATATGTAAATTTTCTAACGCGCTCAGCAAACCGCAGACTCAGGYCAAGTTCCAGGCCCCGGCTAGGAGGTGTCTCGGAGCTGGAGCTGAAGTTGATGGCAAGCCATTCAGCGGGGCTAGGCGAAATACCCATACACACGCATACATACATACATCAACCATTTGTCCGGATGCCGTTGAGCATAAAAAATATTTGTACAGATAAAAATATATGGGATACGCTTTATAAAAATTATGACCAGATAGAGATAGAGATTGAATTGAAATACAAATATGGAAATGAATCAAAAATTTTCTAAGATTTTTGTACTAGTTTTTTATTTTAAGAATTTACAGTTTAAGCACAAGATCATATCATATCAAAATAGGCAAAACGTACTGACAATTTAAAGTTTAATAAAATGCATGGCTATACAATTTGACAGTTTCTTAAATCTTTGCTGCATTATAAAAGAAATAAAGCTCTCAGCTTCTGAAGCGCATATTAAACGCTGATTTCTTCCCTTTCTTCGTTTTCATCTTGAATATCYTGCAGTTTTAAATTCTTCATTAGCTTGACAATGCTGTCGTCATTAGTCGTGTTCATCTTGTGCTGTAGGTTGCCGTGCGCAATGCATTGATCGATGATGTACTTGAAATTGTCATTTTTGCTTAAAGTGATCGGATTGCCRATTAATATTAGCAAYAATTTTGCACGGGAGAGCAGCACGTTGATCCGGCGTGGATTGGATAGGAAACTGGAGCCAGAAAATGAACTGACCAACGAGGCAATCATGATTCGTTTTTCACGTCCCTGATATCTCTCTACGGTGCCAACATCAACTTTCTCCTGTTTGGTTGCACGAAGCATACGCTTTAGCAGCTGGTATTGAGCTAGATATGGCGTGATGATGCCAATATGATCTTGCTCCACTTTAACGCCTCCAAGTCCATCTTTCAGTAGCAGCATCACATACCAGCAGACCAACTGCGCCTCCAGCATATTGAAGCTGCTGGTGGAATTGGTTTCGATTTCTGTTTCACCATGTATTTCCTGAAATAAAATTGGAAAGTTTCTATCTGCCAGCATGCTCCAATCGACCTGTATTTGCGGAGATACTGGAATAAGATTGCTGTCATAAAAGAGCTTGTTGTAGAGCCCGATGATTTCCGGGTGCGCTCTGAAACTACGTCGTAATCGAGATTGTACCGTACGATCGTATTTGCCGTTATTTTTTACCTCGTACATTTTATGGAGCATTAGGCGTTCCATAGCTGAGCGATCCATTCCAAGGACTTTGGCGCGTTTGCTCTTTACAATCGGGCCCAATTGCTTGTGATCCCCAGAGAGTATAACATGACATTCGTCATCTTTAATACCTGCAATCGCCAGCAATGTCTCTGGCTCYGAAACGGATGCGGCCTCATCGATGAAAATGTGGGTAAATTGGCGAAAACTCCGTGCAGCTCGTAGACCAGCGTAGCATAGTGTCGCGACAACAATTCCATACTTTTCTACATCAACGTTTCTCAATCCATTGCGCGTATATTTCTTGTTGTTCCGATTGTATTCATAGTTGGAATAGTTCATCACATCGCGAGGAATAGATTTTGCGTGCTTCCTAAATTGTGTGGCCGATATCAAGCGCAATAATATCTTCTCGCCGGATTTCAAAAATGATTTAAATCGTACATCGTTTTCTATATAGTAGATTAACTTCAAGGTGATCATGTCACAAGCCGCATTTGAGCCAACGGATACTAGAATACGACCCTGCTTCATTAGGTACAATTGAAGAATAGCCTCCACAATCGTCGTCGTTTTGCCAGTGCCTGAAATTCGGTTTATGATTGTTCAATCATTTGCCCCTTTTTCATATGAAMATTCTCTCTGCCTTACCTGGGGGTCCAAAAAGAATGTAGGGCACGTTCGGGTTGGGCCCAGATACGATCTGCTGAACAGCTTCCAATTGCTCTGGATTCGATTCAATGTCACTGTTAAACAATGACAATCTGACCAAATTGTTGCTTATTTTCGGTGTATTCTCGAGTGGAAATAGGTAGCGACGTAAATTTCGGTCTGTCGTAAGTCGATTCAGTGATAAGTACATAACACGAGCCGGAATTCGCGGCGATCGAAAAATCACATCAAAATTGTTGTTCCCAATCTTTGCTGGCGAAACCCTTGAGAACAATTTCGGAGCAAACATAATGCATTCTTTGGTGATATTCGTAATTTCAAAAGCAGGGCCCTTTTCATTAATGATTTTCAGAATGCGTTCCGCTGGAGGTAGCACAGCTGACAGAGCGCCTACGGGCAGGAGCAGAACTTCGTCCACTAAGGGTACAAACATTATCGGATTCGCTTTTAGAGACAGCTTGATGGATAAACTGCCCGACTTAGTGAATTGAACTGGCACATCGAACTGCATAATCTTCGCATATAACAACGTTGTGCTGATATCCTCAATGCTCACTAACATCTTAARCACCGAACTTGCATTAATATAGTTTAATTCACGCGTCGTTAAATATGAGCCAAAAGTTGGATCGATTTTCGCAAGAATTTCGTCAGAAAATTCCAACTCCAAAGCTCGCAGCATATTAGGGCTGGGCTCATACCTCGCTAATCTGCTCATTTTGTTTCCAGCAAAAAGTCAACTTTAGTCGTTTTTTTTTTATAACAATGCACAATGAATGCAACGTAAGCAAACACACTCTGCCCCCGTTCAACGATCTATTTGCAACTGACAGAATCAAAGCAGCTAAACG